CGAGTTATAATACAACAGCTCATTCCTACTCACAGGCAGTCTGACAGAACATCGGCAGCGGAACCGGCAATTATGAGGCTCACTTTGGCCGTGTCCTCATGTTGCCCATTATAATTCGGCGATGGACAAACGCACCAGCTCAGCGCAAAAAGAACCATTCTGACCTTTCTCATCTCTCATAGTTACGACTTACAAATTAAAGCGGATTCTCTACCATCATGTGAACGGTCTCTATACGAATGCGAACTGTATAAAGGTCATCGGGTAGATACAGTACTGTACTGACACCCTGCACTCGGAGAAAGTTTTAGCTGTGCAGCCACGCGTACGTTGTACGACTGCGTTCACTGCTCACATACACGGCTTGCAACTGCATGCAGACTGCTGGCTATTTGGCTGAACGCAATCGGCTTTAAATCCCCCTGTCCACACTGTACAGTACCGTGCTGCTCATACTGTACAAAATTTCTCCAAGTGCAGGGCGTCAGTACAGTATATGTATTATATACCCTATTGCCGCTGAGTGCATAATAACACCGAGTCACCGACCAGCTGTGCGTACGGTATCTGTACAAAATTTTGTAGTCAATAATGCGCGACAGAAAAACCTGCCCACTGCAATTTTTACAGCGACGTAGAACAGCATAATTAAGCAAAAACAACACAAGATCACTCTATATCTATAAAAGACGTTATAATAACATATACATAAACGATAACGATAAAGTATATATGAATATTATATTAAATTTTTTGCTATACTCGTAATCGTCGTATTCATCAGTAGCTCTCCGGGTATAAACAGGGAATCGGGAGGTACCGCGTTGATTTCCATACCCGTCGTCGACGTCGGCTTGCGCGTCGTCGGCCTGCGCGTCGCAGTGGTGGAGGAGCGCAGGAGCTCCTTCACGCCGCTGTTCTCCAGGACCTGGTTGATAAAACCCTGCACCTCGGGATTCTGGTTGCAGTTGCTCACCGTGAAGCCACACCCCGCGGATCCCACCGCCCCGGTCGCCACGTCCCAGTTCAGCGGGATGATCCACTGCGGAACCTTCGGCTTATGGGGGTGGCCCGGCGGTTTGTGGTGGTGGTGACCAGTCCCGTCGACCGGGCGGTGGCGGGCCGGGTCACTTCCGGGGGATCCCAACAGAGACGCGCGGGTGGGCAGCGCACTGCCGGGATGCGGCACCGGAAGTGCCAGCCGCTCCGGGATAACGTTGTCGCGGGTGCGTTCATTGGAGACCGGCGCCGGGAGCGCGGCGAAGGGCCGGGTGCGGATGGGTAGGTCCCCGGGGATGGGGGAGTCCACGAGGACCGTCCCGGGACGCCCTTGACTTCTGAAGTTATCGTTCACGGAAGGGGCGTTCATTTCGTTGAGGGACGATCGGAAGAGCTGGTTGCTGCCACTTCCGGTGGGCTCCCGAACACGGATGTCTCCCGTAGGCACTGCGACGGGATTCGGGAAGCGTTCCCGGACGTTGTCGAACACCGGAATAAAGGGTATGGGCGCTGAGACGGGGGCGGGTGCGGACCGGAAGTTCATTTGGTGGTCGGTGTTAATGACCTCGGGAGGCGGGGCCGGGACGCTGGGAACAGGCGCCGATTGGAAGAAATGAACGGCGGGCGGAGGCGCCGAGTAGCTGGGCATGAAGAAAATGGGTGCGGGAGCGCTGAATGATGGAACGCTAATTGAGAAACTGCCCATGCGCTGGGCATCCACCAACACTGAAAAATCCTTAATCTAATTAAAAACAACCGGTCAATAATTTCATTTGTTATAAATTTCGTAAAAAAGAAAAAGCAAAATTGTAAATATTTTTAAATAATAATAATAATGAAACTTTTATAGATAGCAGATTTGTTTACAGTAATTTGTGTTTCTTATTAATTATAAAATATTACTCGTATAATTGTAAATCGTTGTATTCATAATGATAATTGTAAGCAATTTTGTTTCACATAATGTCATAAAATGCAAAATTATTAACTGTAACTAGTATTTTTGGTTTATTTTTTCTTATTTGTTTGTACACGTTTATTTACAAACAGATTAATTGGAATTAATATTCTGAACTTACCGGCACATCTGAGTCCCAGCACCACGCGTACAATAATGCGGATTATGCTTTCCTTTCTCCGCATGCTGATTAATTAGCCGGCATATAGAATTTCGGGGATATTTTATTCAGCAGCTTAATTTAGATATAACAGGATTGTACAGATACGTATATCCAGCATAAATGTAATAAACCCATTAAGAATATCATACGCCGGTAAAGCTGTACGGTATTGAATTAGAATTTGTGACGTATTTTATTTTTTTCTTTTTTTGCAACGCACACGAGCAACAGCACGCAGTTCCGGCAGCGTAATAGCGCCACAGGCGGATAATTTTAATGCATACGAGATGGTGGTGAAATTCTTCAAATGTCATGATTATTCTGCGAAACGGTAAAGTGTACGGAATAATTATTCAAAATAAATCCGAGCTACAACTGCCAGCGGACTAGCGCTCCGCCCAACCGGAAGTATGATGCTGCACAATAGGCCGGATGTGTATTGTATTTGTGTGCAACCAAGAACAACGATGACGTTGGACATTTTTCAGTTATTAATTTGTCTTTTCTTTAAATGCAAAAGTACATTCTAAATTATTTATATAAGAAATGATAACATTAAAAATTCATTTTTTAAAGTAAGTATTATGCATTTTTTGGAAATTTTATTTATTTATTTTTTACTTCGATTAATTTTTATTTTGAAGCAGCGTTATTTACTTTATATATGCTTAATAAATTATTTTATTTTTAATTTATTTCTTTTATTGTCATTGATTTTATTTTATTGAAACATTGATTCTCCTTTTTGATGCAATCTCAAACTTTGTGAATGCTTTATTTTGATTCCCCTAAATGTAAATGTATTTGTTTAAATTCGAATAACAGTACAAACAGAAGTACTTACAATAAAATGTCGTTATTGTAGCCTGTTTGGTTTTTTTATTGTGAAGTTCGAAATCATACAATCTGTTCTACTTTGTGGTAAAAAACGTCACCCTATCCAATCGATTACCGTACATCTGTAGCTACGTAAAACAGGAATATCGTACTGTAATTAAAGTACGAACATTACATTACAATTTACATCTTAAGGCGGTGTCAGTCCCGGAAGCAGGCGTGTGGATCCATGCTTTACCGGCAGCTTGCCTCGGTAATCTGTTAGACGACAACGCTTTTCGCATAAGTGTTGCGCTGCGTCTGGGAGCACCGATCGTCACTCCACACGTATGCGTTTGTGGTGGGCTGGTCGACGAGTTCGGCCGGCACGGACTTCGCTGTAAGCGGTCTGCCGGAAGATTACCACGACACGACGGAATCAGCGCGGAATTCGCCCGGGGCCTGAAATCAGCCGGCTTCCCTTCAAGAATGGAACCAAAAGGTCTATCCTTCAAAGATAAGAAGAGGCCGGATGTGATCACCCTTATTCCGTGGAAGCGCGGAAAACCGCTGGCAGTGGATGTTACCTGCGTGGACACGCTGGCGGCCTCGTATGTCGACCGCACTTCCGTGAATGCCGGCGCAGCAGCCCAACTTGCGGAAAGGGGGAAACTATCAAAACACGGCTGGATGCAAGCAAGATACGATTTCGTTGCTGCAGCCTTCGAAATTTACGGACCCTATGGAGACGGAACTAAAAAGCTAGTGGACACGGTTGGAAATGGTATAGCGACTTCAACTGGTCAGAAGCGGGCGAAAAAGTTTTTTAAACAGCGAATATCTATGCAAATACAACGGTGAAACGCGATTTGTGTAATGGGTACGATCCCTGATCAGGATTGCATAGAGGAAGTGTTTCTTTTGTAAATTCGGTTTTGTTCTGGTGCATAGTTTGTACTCGTACCGTGATACTTATTAAAGGAGGTGCATATTTACATTACACTACACTACACTGCATTACAACGTCATTACTTTTTTTTTCAAACCATGTGATTTTAATCATATAAACAAGACCACAGCAAAGCTGCCAAGAAAAACAACATCGGGTACAAATCATTCCCGATCAGCCAATCTAAAAGCTAAAAAACATCTTCGCTGTCTCTCACGTCATTGCTTATTTGTACATGTCGAGTTACGTACACGTATTAAGCAAATACTTAGTACGTATCTAAAATAATATTGTGCCGTTAATTACCTAGTTCATGGATAGGCGTAAACACCCTCATGATTTCCGTAATCGGCAAGCAAACAGATATCGGTTGACGGTATCTGATATGCCGCCAAAACAGAAACCGCCCAACCGAGGCCCGAAGAAAAAAGAAGATCACGTAATAATGTGACTTTTATCTCAAAAAATCAAACCAAAAAAAGTGTAAAACTGTCTAAAGAAACCAAAAACACGTTCTAGCAGCCCGTAAACAAACTATAGCTACTGTAGACTGACAATAATAAAAAGATCATTAAGTTGCAAAGGTCATTGCAAAGGTAACTCGGCTTATAGACCGCAAAACTGAGCAGAACTGATATGTGGATTGCTGAAATTCAGATTTTTTTTACTCGTGCCAAAGAAAACCCTCGTTCGCTAGTGTTACAATACAATACGAATACGTTACAATACGAATCCCATGCAGATGTAGAAAAGCCTGCGGTGCAGCATTTAATTTAGTTTTGCGAACTGCGGTTAGCGCGGCAGCTGGGGACGGCCTGAACCTGCAATGCTGGTTGATCTTTCGCTTTACCGGGAGAAGTGATCTCTTATTCCGACAGTTTGAGCAGTGGTCCTAGCCAAATTAAACAGGCCGATACACTTAATTTTAACTTGCAGTACTGTACTTGTAACGTAGTAAACGTACTGCAGAATAAGTAAAATTATTTATATTTGGATTTCGGTTTGCTTCACGTGCGCTACTAGCGCTGCCTCCTAATTTATGTTAAGTACTGTATCCAGGCAAAATATTCCAAGTTCCCCGGTCTCCCTAAAGTGGGTTGGATCGGTGGCGGCGTCGTGCCGGCACGATTCTGGCCGAACGAATTCACAAAGGAAAACCATTTGACAAAGTTCTGGACCGAGACCGATCTATTGGTAGTGACAGTGTTAAAAATAAATGTTTGGCTTATTGAGATGTGAAAACTATGGAGCGTCGCGCGTAGTATCAATGTTGTACAGTACAACATTGATACTACGCGCAATATCTATGGTCACAGGAAAGGGCGACATTCGCTTAACCGAAACACATCAATTGTAATTCGGGTAGTTGTAATAAGTGAACATGGACGGACGGCAGGACAGGCCGGACGCTGGCTGGACATGGCCGAGGACGTTGGGCCTGACGGACACCGGGCGGCCTGGACGTGCGCGGACACGTGTGTCTACACAATAATATTTGTCAATTTCGGAAAACTTCCGACCCGTTTCGGAATTTTAAAGCTCGTATCGTGTTGTATAATTGAGTAATTTATTTTACTGTGTCTAGTATGTTAAACTTCAAGAACATTTAAGCTGTTACTGTTAACGATTTTAGTCGCACCGCTGCACATTAATACCTGACTAACGCCAAACAAACACCGCGGATCGAGTACCTTTTCGTGCCTAATTACTGTCACATCAAGCGTAGAGAGATCCTGCGGTTAGAAACCGCCGGCCGCGGCTACTTAGGTATATTATTCTTAGATATTACACTAAGGTTCCTATTGCCAGCATTTACTGTATACTGGCAGTTTGTGCACAGTGACAATTTCAGATAACCTTTACATTCCAAGGTGAAAACACCATTGACAACAAACACGTCAATATGTCAGAGTCAGCAGTCGGACTACGAGAAATGTGACAAGTGCACCACTAACCAGCTGCCACTAACTATTCTAAGACGTTGCTGGTGCGTGTGATTTGAGAGTTTACTCAATGTGCTGTATATGTAACCCAAGAAAATACGAAGTCCGCCTATGGCAGGGGCAGCCTTGGCAGGCTTCGTTGCTTTAAGGAAAATGGCCCGGTACATGGCGTCCAAAGTGGTCTACATACACTAAAACTTTCGCTTGGGCGCACTCCGAATCACTTTTTTGTAATAATTTATGTGATTCTAAAGCTAAACGATTTGTTTACATTGTTCTGAAAACCGTTTGCGCGCGCAACATCCGGTTGCCGAGAAATGGTGAAACAAAATGGACAAAAAGTTTAAATGCATTGTCGTGTATCAAAAGTCTGGTTACTACCCGATCTTCTTGAAACTTTGCTGCAAAATAAACATGACAATAAGGTCAAAAGTGAACCAATAACAAATTCACAGCATTGTTTTCCGATTTTAAAACGGTTTTCAAAAATTTCAAAATTCATTTTAAAATTATGGGAAAGTGCTATGAACCTGAAATTGGTTCACTATACTGGTCAACTGGTCAACTGCCGTTTTATA